ATGGCCCTGGACCGTCCTATCGGCTTAAATCCCCCTTTCCCAAAGACCTTTTAAAAACCCAATTCTTGGCCCTTCCACACCTCACTTGTCTCTGTCTGCACACTTTCCAATGTGTAAAAGGTGGTTATTAAAATTTTCTTCTTTCTACTTTCTGCTTTGTTGCAATCTTGCATTATTCCCATGACAATGGTCCACCTCACCACAGTTTTCACTTTCACAGAGGATAGGAATCATTTCTGTTTCCCCTCAATACCAGCAACGTGTGGAAAATGCAAAGAAACCACTCACCTAATCAACTTAAATGTCTTTCCTATACATTTTTATTTTGGAAGAAGACAAATCTTAGACTAAAACAACAGCAAATCTAACCATGAAATGTCAAAATAAGGCAGGGTAGCTAACACAGTTAAGACATCGATAAATTTCCCATAGGCTGCTTTTAGGAAACATTCAGACATTTTACTATAGACCAATTTGGCAGCCTTTCTAACTTTTTGGCAAATCAAAAGACATCCTCATAATATGTAAGACTAGAACAACCCCATAATAATAATCACTAAGAACCTTTCAGAACTAGTAGCTCACGCCCATGATCCCAGCATTTTGGGAGGAGATGACAGGATTTCCTGAGCAACTTGGTGCAGCAACTTGGTGAGCCCTCATCTCTCCGATAAATAAAAAAATGGTGAGGCTTAGGGGTACACATTTGTGGTTCCAGCTACTTGGAAGGCAGAAATGGTAGGTTTGCGAGTAGGTTGACACGGCGGTGGCCATGAGTGTGCCATTGTTCTACAGCCAGGGGAAACAGTGAAACTCCAACTAAAAAAAAAATAAAAGCCAGGCTCCGTAACTCAAGCTGCAATCCCAGCACTTTGGGAGGCCAAGGCAAGAGGATTGCATGAACCTGCAGGTTTGAGGCAAGCCCAGGCAATTTGGTGAGACCTCCACTCTATAATAAATAAAAAATTAGCCAGGTGTGGTAGCACATGTCTGTAGTTCACATAACACAGGAGGTGGCCACAAAATTTTTCATTAATACATTATGTGAGCCGAGCTCGGTGGCTCAGCCTGTAATCCTGCGTGTGCTTTGGGAGGCTGAGGTGAGTGAATTGCCTGAGCCTGCGGGTTCGAGACCTGCCTGGGCAACTTGGCGAGACCTCATCTCCACAATAATTCAAAAAATCAGCCGGGCATGGTAGCGCGTGCCTGTAATTCTGGCTACTCGGAAGGCTGAGGCGGAAGGATCGCCCAGCAGGTCGAGGCTGGAGTGCCCAGGAGCGGCCACTGAACTTCAGTTTGGGTAACAGAGTGAGACCCCAACTCAAAAAATAAAATAACAGAAAAAAAAAGAAAACCACAGAAACCCAGTGTCCATGGATAAGGAAAATATCAATGTACAATTTCTATTCCACATTAAAGATTTCAAGTCATTTCTTTGTAGAAAATTCACGTTTGAATAGAAATGTAAAAATTAGTAGAAACACTGTATCAGCATGTTGCAACATTACATCATGATCAAGCTCCAGGGATGCTTAGGAGATTCAGCAGTTGGGAACCAATCAATACAATTAGTCATATTAATAAAATCGATGACAAAGACATATAATCTTGTTAATAGATTTAAAAGATATTGTGAAATCTATAAAAAATTTTACGTTTAAAGATCAAATTATAAAAAAGTGTAAAATATTTCTGAAACACATGAAAAACAGTAGAAATGAAAATAAGTGATTGGGAAGAAAGATTAAATGGTATAATTAATCAATAATCCTCTAATCAGTTTAACAATTGAGTTTGATACTGATACACAAACAGCTGTTTGTGTTCTGAAGAAAACAAATTTTTTTGCAAACAATATTTCAATTGAAAATCCATAGAAAGTTTGAAAGATGTTATCATCCATAATAAGGACTTGAAAAGTAAAACAGTGTGATAGTGACTTTAAAAACGACTGAAAGTGGAATACTGCTGGGGGGTGTGGGGCGTATCTCATCAACAAGCGTACCTGCAAAATGGATATTTGCATTCATAGCCCTGAATTGTACTCCACATCTTCAAAATAAAGAAAGACTGAAAAACCAAGGGAATACACATTTTGTGATTGTGTGTGTTGGAGTCTCACTCTGTCACCCAGACTGGAGTGCAGTGGCATGCTTCTGGCTACTGCAGCCTCGACCTGATGGGCTCCAGCAATCCTTCCACCTCAGCCTTCCAAGTAGCTGGAACTACAGGTGCACGTTACCACGCCGGGCTAATTTTTGGATTTATCGTAGAGATGAGGTCTCACCAAGCTGTCCAGGCAGATCTCGAGCCCTTGGGCTGAGGCAGTCCACTCATCTTGGCCTCCCAAATTGCAGAATTACAGGGAGAGCCACCAAGCCTGGCAGAATACACACTTTTAAAGTAGAATAAGATATATATGAAGATGAGAAATGGTGGCTCCTGCCCATAATCACAAAATTTTGGGAGAAAGAGGTGAGAGGATTGTTTTCTGAGCCCATAGGTTCGAGAATAGCTTGGACAACTTGACAAGACCTCATCACTACAATAAATCAAAAGTTAGATGAGCATGCTGGTGTGTGCTAGTAGTTCCAGCTACTTGAAAGGATGAGGTGAAGGGATCACCTGAGCTCAGCAGGTTGAGGCTACAGGGGATGCAGGATGTTACTGCACTCTAGCTTGGATGACAGAGTGAGACTGCAACTTTAAAAATAAGAAAACAGACGAGTATCAGTCAAGGTTTGCAAGCTCTAAAATCATGGCATTCCTTCAGTAGGAAAAGAAACAGCACCCCGACATGGAACACATTTACCTGATAACCAACTGTTTTTGCCACAACTTCCTCTGGTGTTTCTTATCAGATGAGATTATCTGGACAAGTCACATCTACATGTTGAAGATATGCCTTTATTTTTTTTTAAATTAAATTAAGTAGCCAGGCTCAGTGGCTCAGCCTGTAATCCCATGCCTTTGGGAGGCTGAGGTGAATGGATTGCCTGAACCCGCGGGTTCGTGACCCGCCTGGGCAGCGAGACCTCATCTCTACAATAAATCAAAATATGAGCCGGGCATGGTAGTGCGCATCTGTAATTCTGGCTACTTGGAAGGCTGAGGCAGAAGGATCGCCGGAGCCCAACAGGTTGAGGCTGTGGTGGCTGGGAGCAGCCACTGCACTCCAGTGTGGGCGACAGAGTGAGACTCCAACTCAAAAAATAAAAAATAAAAATAAAATTATATTAAGTGTATTTTATGAGTCTGAGTATCACTCCTTAACCCAGGCAGGCATGCAGTGTCTCCACAGAGCTTATCACCATCTTGACCCCCTGAGATCAAAAGATTCTTCCTTCTCAGGCTCCCAAATACCTGAAACTACAACCATGTGCGACCACTCTTGGCTAAATTGTTTCAGTTTTTATAGCTACATGGATGTGCTATGTTGTCCAGGTTAGCCTAAAATTTCTGGGCTCAAGCAATCCTCTCTCATCTCTCTCTCCCACCACTGACCTGGATAAAAACCCAAAAAAGTACACAAAACCCAAGAGGGGTCTTGGCCCCTCATTTTCACGGTTTTCATGGTCCTCTACATAAAGTCACAGCCCCTGTTCCAACTCCTTGTCTTGACTTTGGCTGTCCCAACAGTCAAAACCAGGTTTAGACCTGGTGACAAACTGCCAATGACCCTTGAAAGGACAGAACAAGAGTGGGAAGTCACTTTTCATCTTGTTCTGAAACTGACGCAACGATGAGAAAGCAGAAGCTAAGCTTTTGGAGAAATGCACATTTTAGGTAAAAGTAACTTTACCGACTATGTCCTTTCAGAAACAGACTTCCTGGTGCCAGGTATCTCATAGTGTCATTCAAGCTTGCCTAGAGTAAAGGGAATTTACAAGACCTAAGACATCATACATTGGGCAAGGACTGTAAAGTCATGAAACATGTTATTACAAAAGTTATAACCTCTCAGAGGGAGAGCAGGTGGCGATTCGATCTTCCAGTAAATTGGGCACTATCTACAGGGAAGCCAAGGATCCCCCGCAGCTACTCACTGGGAATGCCAAGGAGATAAGGGGAGGTGAATCTACCACTAGCTCTAAGGAATATCATTCAGGAAGGTGCAGGAGAATTAGAATTCCCACCGCGCCCTTCTCTCGGGGCTATGATAATATGGACAGACATTAATGGGTCTCTGTGTCACAGGATCTCCAAGACATCCACAGGTAGTCGACAAGGAATTCACAGCAGTCACATTCAAAATCTCCAAGAAAAGGATATAAGCCAGGACTCTGGGTGGTGAACTTTTCTTAAATAAATATTTTCTTCTCTCACCTCTGTGTGTTGCAATTCTTTGCAATTTACTCGGATCTCTGGGTTCGCAGAACGCACCTCCGGCTTGCCAGCCCCATCGGTGCTGCGCCCCTTTCTCCATTCATTTTCTCTCACCCTCTCCAGTACCCTAACAACCCTGATGACTTGGTCTAGGGATTTTCATCTGGATATTCCAGATCAGGCGACTCTGGGGCTGTCACCCACTGCCACTTGCCCATGGCCGACTTCCCTCACCTCTTCTCCAAGCCTTTACCCCAAGGTCCTGCGGAAAACCCAGACTACAATCCCAGACAGGGACATAAGGATTCACGATCCACTGTTGGCCCAAGGGAATCCCTTAACACTGTGCTGGAGCCTCCGTTTACCTTCCAGGAGGAGAGAGGGATGGGGCAAGGACAACAACCCCTTCCCCCAGGGCCCTCCACGCGGGTCAGAGCCCCCACGAGAGTCCTGGGTCTCACACAAATATACTGGAGAAACCTCCAGTACAGCGAGGTTGCCATGGGGACAGGACGTTGGGACCGAACCAAATCCACCCTGTGAAAAGGGGACCGGGGCTGAGCCGCTGGCGGGCACAGGTCCAGGATCAGAACTTGAGTGGGAGGCTGGTCTGCCACAGCCGGGTCATCCGAGTCCAACCTGCCTCTCGCTCTCGCACCCACACCCATACTCACCATCTCCCGGCTTCTGGGTGTCCCAGCGTCTTCCCTACGAACTCCCCAGACCTGCATTTCACAGGGTGAAAAGGGAAGACGCAAATACACGCGCCTCTCTCCAAAATGACCCGGCACTTCCGCAGGCCCAGAAAACAAAAGACCCGATCAGCATCCGGAAGCCACCACCTCATTTTAATCTCTTTTCTGATTGGGCAGTTTCTGAACTAGTATCGCTGATTGGATAAGGCGCCAGGCCACCACCCTTCTGATCTTGAATGACAGCAGATATGATCCAAAAGGGCCAGAGGAGACAAGAAAAAAGAAAAGCATATTTTTTCTTGCAGCATTTTGAGGTTAAGTTGCCTCCCTGCACCGGAGGTTGGGGGGAGGAGCAGGATGTGGCATTCATCGCCAAGCATGCTGGGAACTGTAGTACAAAAATGAGGCCTCGTGGCTTGATAGCTGAGCTGCAGGACTCTGTCCCAGTCAGCAGAGGCAGCAAAACATGTCAATGTACCCTGTGAGCAGTTTCAAGAGGAGCCCACATTTTTTGCCCTGCTGGGGAAATCCACATCCACCAGTGACATGTTGGACAAGCTGGCCATTGCCATACCCACTTACCAAAGAAACAAGCCCCCTGAAAGAAGAGTAAAAAGTAAAAAGGAATAAATATATGAATAAATAAATGAATATGAAAAAAAAGAAATAAGTTCCCCAATGCTCCTGAATAAAAAGAGAGAGTTTGGTAAATCCTTCAGGTCCTCTCCCACTGATGAGGTTTTCTTTCATCAATAATCCTGCTTTTAAGAAAAGAGGGAGAGTGTAAGAGAAAAGAAAATACACAAATGCGAGAAGTCCACAAACTCAGATGATCTCCTTGCATATCAGAATATTAAAGACTCTAGACCAGGCTTGATGTAGTCCCAACACTTTTGGAGGCTGAGGCGAGTGGATTGCCTCAGCTGGGGCCTCAAAACCAGCCAAGGCAAATTGGCAAGACCTTGTCTCTACAATAAATAAAAAAAATTAGTCAAGTGTGGTAGTGTGCGACTGTAGTTCCGGCTACTTGGAAGGCTGCTGCTAAAGGATTGCCTGAGACCAGGAGTTTGAGGCTTCAGTGGCCAGGAGTATGCAACTGTACTCCAGCCTGGGGACAGAGTGAGACTCCAACTCAAAAATAAATAAATAAATAAATTAAAGACTCATGTTATGTACTCAATGACCCTGGAGCATATGAACTTCTAAAACAGGCTGCCAATGACATATTCTCTAGAATTCCCAATGGACAATGTTGGTGACCTGGTGATGTCATTACTGATCCAGATCTAACAAATCATCTCCATCCATTAGGAGAAATCTGGATGTTCACTATTGTAAGAACTCATCTCTATGAGTTTGGAGAGAACTGGACACTGCGAAAGGGAAAGGAAGAAGCCTCTGCCCCTGGAATTACAAGGGGTGATCAAAGAAATGATTTCAGTCTTGAAAAAAAGTTACTCCCGTCCTGGAGGTTTTTCTTTGAAGGTTTATCCTCTGTAAACATTGTAAGATAAATTGTATCCTTACCTACTACACCTGCCTAATTAGCAAATCTGCTTCTGTAAACTTGCTAGCTTGCTGATGTCAGCAGAATATTGCAATAAGAGCTCTGGAAAATGTCCAACTCTAACTTTAGCTAACCAAAATGTAAGCTAGGACTACTTAAGGAAGCTCTGAGCAGTGGCTAAGGGCCGACTTGCTTGGAATTCTCTTCCTGCAAGCAGTCGCCAGCTGGCAGAGCCCTGACTAATAAACTTCTCCTTTGTTAAAATTAAGTCGGTAGACTGTTATTTAATCACTCGGATCCTACTTCATATGGGGGCTCATCTGGGAGAACCGAGCACTTAAATTGCACCCATTTTAACTGACAGGCCTTGTGGGGCTGTGTCCCTGTGAACTCTCTGGGTTTGATTGGGCCTGTATCTCTGGCAGACTCACAACACCCCTGGAAGACCTCAGAGAGGTAAGTCAGGCTCCTGATTTCTGTTTGGAGTGCACTCCTGTAGGGACTCTCAGAAAATCAGGATGCAGCACTAATTCTGGTGTCTGAGGTCCTAGTGAGACATCACTGGGATCTCCTGTTCTGCCCTCAAGCAGCCAGATCTCTCTGTTCAGTTTTTGCTATCTTGTTTGTGTGTTCAGTGTTTGTTACTGTCGTGTCTGGTATTGTAATTAATATCATGGGTGGGACGGGAGCCCCACCTTTATGCCCACATGGAATAATTGCCAACAGCTTCTCCAAACTCTCTTCACCACAGAAGAGAGGGAGATAATCCACCAGGAAGAAAGGAAGTTAACCCTGGGACCTACCAGCCGGCCAGGAGAACATGCACGATTGAAGCGCGTCTTTCCCACTGACAGACCAAACTGGGACCCTAACATTAATCACGGTAGGGAGTGTTTCATCACTTATTGCTGGACTCTGTTGGGGGTTTCTGGGCTGCTGCAAGGTGCCCCACAAATTTATCTAAGATGAGTGAAGCCATTCAAGGGCCACAGAAATCTCCCACTGCTTTTCTGGAGCATCTCATGAAGGTCTATTGGACATACACCCCAATAGACTGAAAGGCACCAGAAAACTGGAGGGCGTTAGTCATAGCCTATGTCTCGCAGTCAGCCCCTAATATATATATAAAGAGCTGGTTAAGTTGTTATACTTCATTTAATGGGACATGTCATCTTTTAAAAACTTAATTGGCGTATGTTTCTTTATGCCATTGTATGATTCTCTCCCTTCCTTAGCCTGTGTTCTTCTTTATTAATTCTGAAGGAGTTCATTCTAATCCACCTGTAAAGAAACATAGAAATATCTCTTATATGCTATTTAGGCTTTTGCTAGCTCAGTGCAAGTTAATGCTAGCCTTGAAAAGAATAATTTTGTAATATTTCTCTGGCAACTAAGGAACTAAATAAACTGTTCTTGTATTCAAATGCTAAGCCAGGTTAGTTGAAAGTAAGTCTGTTTCTTTTTTTTTTTTTTTTGAGTTGGAGTCTCACTCTGTCACCCAGACTGGAGTGCAGTGGCCACTCCCGACCACTGCAGCCTCGACCTGCTGGACTCCGGCGATCCTTCCGCCTCAGCCTTCTGAGTAGCCGGAATTACAGGTGCATGCTACCACGTTCAGCTAATATTTTTATTTATTGTAGAGATGAGGTCTTGCCTGCCCAGGCAGGTCTCGAACCCGCAGGCTCAGGCAATCCACTCACCTCAGCCTCCCAAAGGCGCGGGATTACAGGCTGAGCCACCGAGTAAGTCTGTTTCTAAAGGTTTGGGCATTGCCTAAGATCATAATCAACTGCTTGTCCCTGTAAAACTGTTGAGAAGTCTCTTAGAGTTGTGTAATGTATGCTGAGTCCCTACTTTTTATTGTAATGCTAAATAACACTCATACTTGCATTTTTGTCTATGGCTGACTAGCACACCTCTTACAAGACTGGTAAAGCTTTAAATGCTAAATACTTTGCAGGACTTAATAAAGCATGGGAACTGGCCATTCCCACCTGATTAAGTCACCTTGTAAGCTCCGTACTTCACCTAAGGGACAGGTCAAGTACTAGGCACACTCTGTGGCACATAGAGTGAGACTTAATCACTATCATTTAATTGTCCATGTCTTATGACTAAGGCTGCTGTTTAGTAATTCATGAGAATTTTTGACAATTTTGCCTGTTCATAATTAGGAATAAATAGGAACAGATCATTTTACATCTACGTGGTCTGTTCACTCTAAAAAGGTTTTGTACCAGGCCATTTTTGTAGACATCATTGGGAAGTCGCGGAGCAGAAAAAAAAAGGGGGGCGCTTCAAGAAAAGCTGAGAACACTCAGTCTAGGAGAAGCCATCAGGGTTCCAGGAATCCCTGGCGTTGCTGTTTATGACTTTAGTTATTTGTTTGTTTTAGAATTCTCCATTGAGAAATAAATTCTAAGTGTTCGGAGCAAATTCTGGGTTTTCAAGTAACGTGACCAAGAGAGTGTGTAGTGGTCTGTGCCTTCAGACACGCTGATGGGATAGATTTTGAATGATTGGAGCAAATTAAAATTACGTGGTTTAATAATAATAATAGATGCATTATTTAAAAAATCAAATTTTAACTCGCTACAAGTTAGCAGATAATAAAATTTGGAAAAGAACAAAACTATCTGGCAATTAAATTCACTTTGTAGACCTAAGGAAAAATAAAATGGTCAAAAGTTCTGTATGCAGAGGAATTTAAAAAATTTATTTCACTACTTTGCAAACAAGATTATATCCTATAGAATATTAAATGCCAAACTCCAGAAGCTTAACTCAGGACTAGGAATACCAAACTCCCAATTATAAAAGCCTCTGAAGTTCTTAGAAACTGAAACATTAAAAAAAAAAAAGAGGAGAAGAACTTCAAAATGAGCACAAGTCAGAGGAAAGGTAAACAAATTGGGAGTTGCCACTAAAAGCAAAGCTCCAGCCACCCAAAAGAGGTCTGACAAGGATAAACCCACTTAGGGGGATGGTATCAGCTGCTATTAATGTGGTCAATCTGGGTACCTAAAGCATAATTGTTCTTAATGGCCTAAGCCCCCAGGAACTTGTCCAATATCTGGACTAAAAAGCCACTGAAAGAGATGGTGTGGCCTATTCTGAAGTGGGGGAATCACCTAGCTCAGTGATGGTGGCTGTTGACTGAAGGGGGAGGGGCATGGCCCATTGCAGCACTCTGTATGCCATCCACCCAGAGAATCTTTGGGTCTATATGAATGTGACTGGGGTACAAATTAATTTCTTAATTAATACTGAGGCTAAGTTTCTAGCCCTTGTGCTCTTATGGAACTTCTTTCTCCTAAAACTTGCTCTCTAGTGAGAGTTAAAGGTGTTCCAAAAACTAAATGTTTCACCTAACAGTTACTAAAAGGTGAATTCAAATTATGACTGTAAAAGTTTATCTATAAATAAATAAAAAGGAAAGCAAAAAGCAAAGGAAAATATAAAAAGGTTGTTGGTATACAAATAAGGTTTTAGTAAGC